CAGACTGCGCCCCCTCCACCCCCCGCCTGGCCGGCGCCCAGCTCGGCGCTGGGAGGCGGTGCTTTTCTCTCCAACCCAGCACTTTCTTATCCTGAAGCCCTAAGACCCAGACAGCGTCAGGAACCTGCCCGCAGTGGCCGCTTACAGAGCTCAGGGTCTGGGGCGGATGAGTAGGAAAGGAGGACTTAGCTTGCTTGGGAGCTGTGTAACCCCCAGCCCCATACGTGGGTGCTTATAGCCTCGTTTCTTAGACAAGAGATGAAGGCCTTGGACAGATTTTACAAACAAGAAAAGCCCGGCCATCTCTTGGGAGTATTAGGAATCCGGTAGAATCAGGATGAAGCCCCTTCCTTCTTGTCCCAGCCTCCCGGCCAGACAAAGCCAGTCCTGCTGCCTTGGAGAAGGCTCTGATCCTCTTGTTCCCCAGATTCAGGCTTGGGTCGGGGAGCCTTGGCAGGATCCTCCAGTGTGTCTGGTTCGGGCCCTGGGCCAGATGGGTACCCACAGGTCCTGGCACATGCACAGTGGCTTAGCAACCTGTCCGTTAGGAGCCGACAGGTGAGCCCGGGCCCTGTCACAGGTCATTTCCTTTGCATCGCTCGGTGCCTTGAGACACATTCTTAGATAACACAAACTGTGCACAGAGAAGCTGCAGGATCAGCCCAACCAGTTGAGCAAGTCCACCTGGGCAGTGTTTGGAAAGTTTTTGGTTTGTGTGGCAGGGTCTCACTTTGTAGTTAGGTCTGCCCTTGAACTCTATGTAGCTCAGGTTGGCCTCCAACTCGCCGTCCCTCCTGCCTCTGCCTCCCAAGTGCTGGGACTACAGGCGTGTGACCCCACACCCGGCTTTCACCTGGGCAGTGTTAAGAGGTCAGCGTGAATCATCCCGGACCCTGGAATGGGGGCCACCAGGTTACTGCTGGGGGTGGCAGTACGGGAGAGGTCAGCTTGAGGCTATGTCCCCGTCTGGGGCTTTGAAGCCGTGATGAGAAGGAGGTGGCGCTGGGCATCACGTGAAATGTGTGCACTTGAAGGAGCGTGGGCGATCACCTGGCAGGCGGGTAGGGCGAGTTACCTAAGAAAGTTCTCAGACAAAAGCTGGCGCCCAGGGTGTGGGATCCCGAGACCTCAGAATCTCTGGCCTCGGAGCCAGCTGGGGGAGTCCACACACGTCACTGTCCTCACCTCTTTGATTTCTTCGTTTGTAAGATGAGAATAAAACCTGGCCTCGTGGGATCATTGCTGGTCTAACCGGGGAAGTGCCAGTGGAGTATACAGCACAGCCCCTGAGGAATCCAGTCTCCAAGAAACGGAAAGCAGAGTAGACCTAGGACAAGCATCTACAGCTTTCAGCTCCTTGTTTTCTTGTGTGGAGGACGGAAGCCAGGACCTTTTTTTTTTCCTTTGGGTGTCTCTATTCAGTTCAGCCTGGCCTTGAACTTGTGGTGATCCTCTTGCCTCAGCCTCCTAGGTGCTGAGATAGCAGGTGTGCACCATCACACCTGGCTGAACCCAGGGTCTTGAGCATGCTAGGAAATTACTGTACCACTGTGCTATGTCCCCAGCCCTGCATGAAGCCCTGGCTTTGATTTCCAGTGCTGCAAAAAAAAAAGAAAAAAAAAGCAGGCAGTGGAACTGTGACGTAAATCCCCAGCCCCAAAAACTTCTGTTTTGATCTGGGGTCTTGCTGAGTTATCCGACTTTGCCTTGAATTTGTGATCCTCCTGTCACAGCCTCTGAAGTAGCTGGGTTCAACTCCATTTTAAGGAAGATCTCAGTGGTTAAGAATTGAGATTCAGGGAATTTGCCTAAGCGTCCTACCCTTTAAACCCCAGCTTCTTCATATGTCTTAGAGAGGCTAATAAACTGGATAGCATGATGCGTGATGCCCACCTGTAGTCATAGCACTCAAGAGGCTGAGGCAGGAGGGTTTTCTGTGCAAGGCAACCCTGGGCTACATGGCAAGTTCAAGGGTGGCCTGGAATGTGTGTGTGTGTGTGTGTGTGTGTGTGTGTGTGTGTGTGTGTATTGAGAGAGACAGAAAGACAGACAGAAAGAAACAGAGACAGAGAGACCCTATATCAAAAAGGTATAGTACCTACTATAACAGTAATAGTACCTACTAAATGGGACTGTTGTGATGATTAAACAAGATAATTCATGTACAGTAGAGAACAGCCCGGCACCTGGTCCGCCCTGGAAATGCCTCTTGAGTCATTATGGACAGAATCATTTCTTCCCTAGAGTCGATCCCCACCTTCCCAGGTCTGAGTCTAGCGAAGGTGTTTGTGTCGCCTGGAAACCTCCTCTGAGGGACTCCTTTTATCAGTGACACAGCAGGAGCCCCGAGCGGCCTGCGATTGGCGGTGGAACAGGTCCCCTAGAGAGTCGCCTGTGCAGAATGGCTGACTGTGTCCTTACGCAGGTTTCTGTCACCCTCCGATTTAGTTGTGCAAGTACGGTGCCTGAGGAGGGGAGCCCGAACCGTTTGCCACCAGAAGTCACCTCTGACCTTGCCGGCCCCTTGCCTGGCACCGCGGAGGTGAAAGGGACCTACTTCCCGTGGGCGGCCGCAGATGCCACAGGTCCCGGGCCAGCGCGGCCGGGCTCTTCTGTGAGGCTTCCCTTTCCAGAGCCGCGGCCAAGAATCAGGGCGCCTGTGGCTCTCACCTGCCAGCCTGGACCTCTCTCCCTCTCCATTCTTCTAGTTTCTTTCTTTTTCCTGTTTTTTTTTTTTTTTTTTTTTTTTTTTTTTTTTTTTTGTTTTTGGGATCGAACTTGCAAGGCAGGCAGTAGAACCACTGAGCTAAATCCCTGGTTCTGGTTTCTATTTTTGTTTTTGTGGTGCTGGGTTGAAGTGAGGGCCTTTCCCCTGAGCTACATCCCAGGCCTTTTTACTTTTTGTCTGGAGACCAGGTCTCGTTGATTTGCCCAGGCTGGTCTCACACTTGCCATCCTCCTGCCTCAGCCTCCCAGAGAGCTGGGATCATAGGTGGACGCTGTCATGCCTCACTCATCCGGCTCCATTTTGGGGATGAGTACAGCAAGGCGCGGAGGAGTGAAGTCCCTGACTCTTGGTCGTCCAGCTAGCAAGCTGGTGTCTGACGCCACAGCTCTCCAGTCCCAGATGTTCCTGTTTCCAGAGCTGTTATTAGTATGTTCGCTGATCTGCAGGCACAGAACTCAGCTCGAAAGGCCTTGGACAGCCATTATCTGTCACCCGCTCACTTGGGAACATGGCTCACTGTCTCCTGGGTCTGCAGTGTGGCCTCTGGGAGAGCTGGGCTGCTTTCCGGACATAGAGGGCCCACCCATCCCACTCAGCAGAACCCGTGGGTTTCAGAACCTCCAGGGTTCCCAGTGCAGAAAACCCCGTTCTGCTGCAGAAACAGGGCAGGATCAGCACTGCTCCTTGCCAGAGTCCTGAGGACCCTAGGCATGGCCTAGAGGGCAAAATCGTAATTTGAAGGTAGGAGCGGGCAGGAAATGTTTCTTACGCTGACTTCAGATGGTCCTGCTCATTGTGGGCCAGACCCTGAGGATGAATCTGCCATGATCAGGAGATCACTCAGCATACCCCATAGGCTGTACAGAAGCCCTTAGTTACTTCACTAGAAGAGCTGAGACTCAGACCTAAGACACCCAGTGAGCAGGGCTTGCGGGTCCACACCTGCAGTGCCAGCACCCAGGAGGCTGAGGCAGGAGGATTGCCAGGAGTTTGAGGCCAGCCTAGGCTACGCAGTGAGTTCAAGGCCAGGCTGAAATACAGAGTGAAACTGTCTTAAATAGAAAAAAAATAAAAAGTACTTGTCCAGTGTCCCTGATGTCACCATGATTGTCCCGGTCCCACCTCTCGGTACTGGCCCAGTGGGCCTGGTGCCAGCGCAGCACAAGGTCCCTGCAGGCCCAGTCATGGACCCCTCTTTGCAGAAGCACGAGTTCTCCGTGGACATGACCTGCGAAGGCTGCGCAGAGGCGGTTTCTCGCGTTCTCAACAAGCTGGGAGGTGAGTGAGCTGGGGCTGCCCTGCGCCCCCCAGGCAGCCGGCCGGAGGACAGCATACAGGTGTCGGTGCTTCGCTCCTGGTTCCTGGAGCCTCGGGACAGCCGTTTCAGGTCACATTTCTGACCATCTCTGTCCGTCTCTCACCCCCCTGCCCAAGTCCTTTTTTAAATTTTGAAACAGGGTCTTGCTAAGTCGTTAAGTTGCCCAGGCTGGGCTCCAAATTGCGATCCTCCTGCCTCAGCCTCCCAGAGTGCTGGGATCAGAGCTGTGCGCCACATGCCGGCTTCACCAGACCCATTTTAGAGAGGAGGGAGCTGCAGGTCACGAGGCTCAGTAGCTGGGCTGGAATTGCAGGGCCACCGAGTGCCAGAGCTGGAATTCATCATGTAGTTCGGCTCGGGAGCTCTGGCAGCACTGGTTAATAAGTTGGTGACTCCAGAGTAACAGCGTTTGCTATGTGACACATCTCAGGACTGTTTTCCAGTAAGACTTTTAAAATGCTCTTTTTTTTCTTTCTTTTTTTTTTGGTGGCTGGAATTGAACACAGGGCCTTTGTAGTGCACTACATCACCAGTCCTTTTTAATGTTGAGATGGAGTCTCCCTAAGTTATTTGAGGTGGGATTACAGCATGGCCCATCAGGCCCGACTCTGCAGATCCCTGGGTCTTGCTGTGTAGTTCAGGCTGGCCTTGAACTCACTATGTAGCCCAGGCAAATGCACAGTGATCCTCCTGTCTCAGCCTCCCTAGTGCCAGGAGTACAGGCGTGAGCCACCACATACCTGGGGCACAAGAGCTCTCACAGCATCTTTCAGACATATTTAGAAAATCATTATTTTCATCCTGCACCCCCACCCCTCACCGCTGGGGAAACTGAGGGCCCAGGAAAGCTGAAACCTGGTGCTGGGGCTCAGAAAGAACTGGTGTTTGATCGGGGTCCTGGCAGTGCTGGGGCGCAGGCCTGGTTGGTCTTTCTTCCGTTTTTTTTTTTTAGCCAGGTATTGAGGCTTGAATTCAGGACCTTGAGCATCTTTTGTTTTTAAAACCCTCGGCAACCATGAGACTCAGTTTTCGAAGGCTGTGGTGCTTTCCAGGGGTGGGGCCGGGAGGCTGGCACCAGTGCCCGAGCTGAAGTGACAGGGAAGAAGCTGACGGCGGACTGCCTGCCCCTGCCCGGCCCCTCAGGGTCCCAGGCTGCTCCTCCCCCGTGACTGAGGGACGCCTGCCCAGAGGCCGGGAGTCTAGGGACAGTTTCTGTTTCATGTTGGCAGTGCTGGGGGTTGAGCTCAGGGCCTTTGCCCTGAGCTACGCCCCAGCTCTTTTTATCATTTCATTTTAAGTCTTGTTCTTGCCAAGTTGCCCAGGCTGGGCTCAAGCTTGCAGTTTTCCTGCCTCAGCCTTGAAGAGTGCTGGATTACAGACGTTGGCCCCCATGCTGTGCGGTCCAAAGATGAGAGAGACCCTTGTATGAACCAAAAAACAAAGATCCGGAGTGTGGCAAGGTAGCAACCGGCCAGGCATGGCAGTGCACACCTGTAATCCCAGCACTCGGGAGGCTGAGGCTGGAGGATCACCAGGAATTCGAGGTCAGCCTGAACTACCTGGCAAGACCCTGTCTCAAAAACAAAGTAGAAGCAACTTCGGTGTCCTTTAAGAGGGACTGGGCTGGGGATTTAGTTCAGTGGTTTCACAGCCTGCCTTGCAAACAAAAGGACCCAAGTTCGATCCCCAGTACCAAAAGGGGGGGCGTGAGGAATTAGGTAGATGTAGGCTGTGCCCACACTGTAGCTGTTTAAAGGAAAAAACAAGGGGCTGGAAGTGTAGCTCAGCTTAGCGTCTGTAAGACCCTGGGCTGGCTGCCCAGCACCACCTTTTACAAAGCTTATTAAGACTGGGGATTTAGCTCTGGCACTGCACCTGCCTGACTTGTAAACGAAAGGTCCCGAGTTCTATCCCCCATACAACAACAACAAATAAGAATGAGATAAGTCTGTATGTGTTAAGCCCGAAAGGTAGAAAACAGAAGTAGAAAAGTGAAATACTGGCAAGACCCTGTTCTATAGTGTGAGTTAGACAGATGCTGCACTGCTGACAGCGACCTCGGGGGTCAGGGTTAGTAGTTTTATTCAGGAATGTTTCCCCTGTAACGGTCTTGCTGTCGGGCAGCTTCTGAAATATGAGTTATATGCAGAGTCTGAGAAGGGTGGCCCTGCCTTGGTGGGAACTCAGGCTAGCGGCTTCCCTTGGGGTCTGGCCAGAGGTGTAAGGGAGGGGGGTTGGCGTCGCCCTGGGCGCTTGTGACTGGCGGGCCCCGCCCATGTCCCCAGCCCGCCCCCGCCACGCCCTTCTCCAGCTGGTCTCCGTTGCTTTTGCAAAGAAAAAACTAAAAGCAGCAGGCTACAGGTGTGGGCCGTGTCCAGCTCACGGGCTGTTTCTGTGCAATGGAGAATGGCTGTTCCATGTGTCCTTTCTTCTTGGTGGTACTGATACAGGGCACCCAGTAATCCAAGTAAGCATAATAATCCAAACAAGGGAGATACTACAACGCCCCACCCGCTAGAGATCCGAAACACGAGTTTGTGTTCTCTCTCAGTGAAGTGAATTCTAGAAACAACGGGGCGGGGGTAGGAGTAGGAAGAGTTTACGGAGAGAAAGACAGCTTCTAAGAGACACAGAAGGGGGACCAGAAAGTGGGCTGCCCGCCCACCCCACTTCTCTGAGGTGCTTTATGGGGCAGAGTCACGAGGTGAGGTGGGTCCAAGGTGGAACAACTGTGAGGGCCAGTGGAAAATTACAGCGTGGATGAGGTGGGACAAAGCCACGACCAACCAGTAAGATTCCAAGTACAGTCGCCCAGGTAACACTACTTAAATGGGAGTCAAACGGGAAAGCTGGTCCGGGAGGAATGGGCTAGCTAGAGATGCTGATTGAAGTCCATTTGGAATATCGATCACTGCTCTTCCTCCCCAGGGGAAGTAGGTAGGCGCAGTAGTTTTCTCTCACTAAGCAGTGTATGCACCTCAGTTTTAACTGTGCTGAGGGCCTGGCCTTGTCTGACTGTTTTATAATAATTTGTAACTAACCTCTTTGTCTGCAGTAGTACTGGGGGATTTTGTTGTTGTTGTTGCTGTTTGTTGTTTTGAGACAGGGTCTCACTGTGTAGCCCAGCTTGGCCTCGAACTCTTGGTGATCCTCCTGCCTCAGCCTCCCGAGTGCTGGGATTACTGGCTTGCACCACCATGCCTGGCTGGGGGAAGACGTTACCAAGAAGGATAGTAGCAGAGTCCACAAGTAGCCCACAGTGCTTAAAAGATTTCTTCTCTGGCCCCGATAGAAAAGGCTCGTCAGCCCCCGGTCTCAAGGAAAGAGGCAGGGCGACTGGTTGCGAGCAGTAGTTCAGGAGCCTGAGCGCTTCGTTGCTGGACTGGGGAGGTCCCATTGTCAGCTGCCCGTACCCGTGTCCACTTCCCACAGGAGTGCAATTTAACATTGACCTGCCCAGCAAGAAGGTTTCCATCGACTCTGAGCACAGCGTGGACACCCTGCTGGCGACCCTGAATAAAACAGGAAAAGCTGTTTCCTACGTGGGCCCCAAGTAGCCCTGCGCAGGAGGGACTGAAGAGCTCCGGGCAGGTGAGGCCCTGCCTTTGTCCGACAAACCCCACGATCGCCGCTCTCGGCAGGGTTAACAGGCTGAGGATCGCATTTTCATTTTTTTTTTTTAATAAATTTTATTTCATCGCATTCCCCTCCTCAAGCCCCCTCCCCTCCCTGTGTGCACCAGCTTCGTGTCCCGTTTTTTCCTTCTGGTGTCACTTCTTTCTCGTCCCCTCCTTCCTCTCTCCCAGGCCGAGTGTCTCTTACCTGAAAGGCGGGCAGCAGCGCTGTTTTGGATCTGGGAATCTTCCAGCTTTTAGAATAAATAGTTCGGCAGGTCTCGGGAGCTGAGCACGCCATAGAGGAAGATCAAGCCAGAGTGTTTCGTGGTTATCTCAGCCCGGCTAGGTGCTCTACCACTGAGCCCCATCCGCAGCCCTTTTTCCTGGCTTTGTTTTGTTTCGAGACAGGGTCTGCTATTAGCCCAAGCTGGGCTCAAACTCATAATCCTCCTGCCTCAGCCTCCCAAGTGCTGGGGTTACAGGCCTGCACCACCACGCCTGGCTAAAGTGTTTGGGTTTTATTTGTGGTTTTTTGTTTTGGTTTTTTTTTTCCTATCATGGAGCATTTTGGAGTTCAGATTTGTGACATGGGGATGCTTAGCCCATCTCTTGGCCATTAGCTCTTGCGTGGGGAGCGGGAGCCCCTGATTTATATGCAGTCTGCTGACCACCCTGTGGGGTGGTTCGAAGGACCACATTCTTGTGTCATGCGGGTCACGAGTTCAGGGAATCCCCGCAGCCCCCCGCGAGCCCCCTCAGGTCTCGGGTGAGGGTCCCGGCCAGTCACGTCCTGGTCCCCTAAGTCCGTTCAGGTGCGTGGGCCATGGGCCTGTGATGTTCCGTGGGCCTGGTGACCCCACGCGCTGTTTCCCTCTTGCCCTGGACACCCCCACGTGGGGACTGACGTAGAGGAACAGGGGCCAGGGGCCGACCCAACCCCGGGTTTCTGGAGGCCCCCGCGTGGGCGTGTGTAATTCTCTCTTCCGTGCCAGAGATGAAGTCCGGGGCAGGTATCCGCCCCTGAGCTGCATCTCCATCATACCCCCAGCCCGTTACTTTATTTCTTGCCGCTGGGCCTGGGCGTGGAGGTGCACGCCTGGAATCCTAGCTGCCTCTCAGGAGGTCCCGGCAGGGTTCAATCCCGAGAGGCCAACTCAGCGAGTCTTTGTCTCGAAAAGTGTAAGGATCTGGGGATGCAGCTCTGGTGTGCAGGGTGGGTTCAATCCCCAGGACCACCCGAAATGAAGACAGCCTCACTGAGCTGCCCAAGCTGGCCTGGATCCCTCTCCCTCTGCCTCCCCAGAAGCTGGGATCCCCGACCCACACCACCAGACCTTGTGTTGTAACCGTGCTTACCTTACTGTGCTGTTTGCTCGTATTTTTAAAAAATTAGGTTGAAATGGACATGGCGCCGTGTATGTTAATGGCATTTGGTGCATGCGCGGGTTTTGTTTTGGATTTTGATTTTGGTGCCCAGGATCAAACTCGGGACCTTGCGCTTGTGAGGCAGTCGGTGGAACCACTGAGCTACATCCCCGTCCCTGTATTTTACGGTGTTCTGTGGTGTGAGGAATTCTCACAGTAGCCTGTATTTCTTCTAGGAGGTTTCAGGCATACATTAGTAATGTAATAAAATGAATTGCTAAGTATTCACCGCCCAGCCCCCCATCGACCTGAAGTCTGCCGTTACTGCTCACCTGTGTCCTCCCGAGTGCTTTGGGAGCGAATTCCAGCCGTCGCAGGCGTATCTGTGCCTCTGTGCCGCAGGAACCATGGTTTTCTGCTTCTTTGAGCTAGGATCTCACTGTGTAGTTCAGGCTGGTCTTAAATTCACCACGTAGCCCAGGCTGGTCTGGAACTTGCAGCGGTCTTCCTGCCTCAGCCTCCTGAGTGCCAGGACTCGGGTGCCTACCACCAGGCCTGCAGACATCTGTTTGAACAGGCTCCTTGCTGGCCGACGGCCTTGAAGCCAGGTCTGGGAACCCCAGAGCCAGCAAGCTCACCTTGATCACCTTACTTTTGGTAGGTTATTCGCTCATGATTCCGTTATGGTCTTTGCATCCGAAACTGAACAGGACGGGTATCCTGCGCCTGAGGATCCAACACACTGGGGAACCCCAGAAGACGCCCCGGCTCCCTCCCAGCCTGACATAACTTTTACTGCCTCTGCTCTGCTGCCGTGCCCCCAGGAGATGGCGCGCTGCTGCCACATAACGTCTCCGTCTCTCCTAGGCTGCTGATTGGCTTCCGGCGATGGAGTCCTGGGCATACCCCACCGGCCCTGTTCCTTCCTAGCGTCCCTGCAATAAAGTCCAGCCGTCTTTCTTGGAGAAGTTGCCCTTGCATGGTCTTGTGTTGCCTGCCCACTTTCAGGCTGTCTGTCCTCAGTGGGTCGGATTTCTGGGCCTTCGTGCTGTCCCCCCCACAGCCTGGTTCTCCTCTGTGTGACCTTTAGCAAATTACCGCCCCCTCTGGACACCCTCAGCCTCCTTCACAGACGCAAAGCGACTGGGCCAGATCAGTGATCTCTTTTCTTTTTCGCTGCTTTCTTAGACTCTGTATTTTGAAAAACTAGTCTAGCGAGTGAGCTGCTAGGATATACCAAATGTTAAAGCAGTTGCTGCAGTGGGATGAGGCTGTAAAGAGACTCGCGATGGTGTCGTCTCCGGTACCCCCCAGCTGGGCCGCCTGACCTCTCAGAGTCCACAGGGGTAAAATGGAAAAGCAGCAGCAGCAGCTGCGGCAGCGGGTGGTCTGTAGAGGATAGAATCAGGTGATTATGTAACCCCGGCATTCAGGAGGCCGAGGCAGGAGGATCGCTGTGGGTTCAAGGCCAGTGTAGGCTACACAGTGAGTTCAAGGTCAGCCTAGGACTAGTGCCTTACAAAGCTATTTTTTTTAATGTCAAAACAATTTGAATAGTTTGTGTAGCGTTTTGGGGGAAGGGTTGTGAGATCTCCCTGTGGAACCCTGGCTGGCCTCCAACTCTTCGCCATTGCAGCACGATCACACTCAAAACTTTCTCATCTTATATGCAGGGGACCCTTGACTTACAAACTCAATTCCTCCTCAAGGGCTGGTTGTAACTCAAGTTGGTCAGTGAAGGCTCAGGGTCCTCTGCACAGCCTTCAAAGTCTCTCCTGTGCACAGGCAGATCTCAGTACCCTTAGACACTGGCCCAGGGTTTCTCAGTGAATCCCACAGAGGAAAGGACGCTGTCACGTCCCTTCCAGAGCTCTTTAAGGGTTAAATCTGTTATCTGAGACCATCTGGAAGCATGAGCGGCCCGCATTCATGTCACAACTCAATACCTTGTTCGTAAGTGAAAACTAACAGTCCAGTTGTGGCAAGTTCATATAGTAGTAGGCTGCTTGTAACTCGAGGATCCACTGTATTCTGAAAAACTATTGAGAACAGTAAAGAGATTTCGGTTATATAGGGATTTTTTTTTTTAAACTATTTTATTTTATTTTTGTTTTTTTGGTTTTTTTGAGACAGGGTCTCACTGCATAGTTGAGACTGACCTGGAACTCACTATGTAGCCCAGGCTGGTCTCGAACTCCCAGCGATCCTCCTGCCTCAGCCTCTCTGTGCCGGGATGACAGGCGTGCGCCACCACGCCCGGCTTGTTTTGTTTTTTTAAAAAGCAGCGGCCCAGTTTATTGGAGAAAGTGAAAGTGAAGAGTGGGGAAGAAACCGGCTCTGCAGAGTGAGCTTGGGCCCAGAAGAAAAATGGGTAAGGAGCAAAGCCAAAGTGTCCGCTGCCCTGGGAAACAGCGTGGGCTACCACGGAAAGCTACGATCGGTGGTGTGGGTTAGGGTCGGCTCGAAGTTGAAACAAGAACTTTTGAAATGTCTGAACGTCCAAGAACTGGATGAGGCCAGGGCGGCCAGCCGATGCTGGAGAACTTCAGGGCGCAGTCCCGCAGGACGCAGAAGTCTCCAGGAAGTCATTCCTACCTGAGGCACCTGTGGGCAGGTCGTGGGGACACACGGTGAGTCACTGCTTTCTCCATGGAGCAGTTCCGGAAGGACCTGGACTCCTGATCTCCCCAGCCGCACAACGCGTGCCCAGGCACCTCGAGGAGTTTGGTGGCCAGAGAGAAGAGGCGACTTCCCTGGAGCTGCCGCCTGCACAAATAACGTTTGCAGTCTGCCGCCCTTTGGGAGCCCAGGACAGGGGCCAAGGTGCTTGGGGGTCCAGCAGCTCGGCCCTGTCCCCAGCCCAGCAGACGCTGGAAGGGGAGTGGGAGGCGGCAGCCCATCTGGACTACGTGCCTCCCGGGTCGGGTCCCCGCCCAGCGCCCCACCCCCGGGGGTCCCTGGAAGTGCTCCCGAGGAGGAGGACTGCAGCCTGGAAGGTGTCCCAGAGCTGCATCTCCCCCCACCCCCGCCGGGGAGAAACCATGCTACCTGGGGTTGCTGGAGCAGAGCCTGGGGGCTGGACTTGGGGGGACCCTCCATACTGAGTGAGGGCCGGAAGTCTTCGCTTCTTAAGGTCCCTCTGCCCCCACTCTGACGAGATTGAGCCCAGGAACTTCTGGGGCTATCTCCCCAACCCTTTTTAGTTTCTTCACTTATTTGGGGGATCAGGCTGGCTTCGAACTTCTGACAGTCCTGCCTCAGCCTCCCCAGTGCAGAGATCACAGCCATACTGCACCACACCTGGCTTTTTTGAGATCGGATCTCAGCATGTTATGTGATCCTCCTGCCTCAGCCTCCCAAGTGCTGGAATCACAGGTGTGCGCCACCATACCTGGTGGTTTGTTTGGAATTTTAAGCAGCATTTTTGAGGTATAATTTCATTCAAAACACCACATGTATTTAGAGTCCATAATATTTAAGATATAAAGTATCTTGGGAAACCACCACCGCAATTGAGATACAGTAATGAGCTGTTGATCACCTCCAAACCTTTTGTTGTGCCAGACCGCAGGGGTGCACATCTGAAATCCCAGCTAAACCAGAGGCTGAGACCAGAGGATCGTGTGAATCCAGCCTGGGGAATTTGGTAAGAGCTTGTCTCAAAAGATAAGACAAGCTGGAGATGTAGGTCAGGCCGGTGGCCCTGGACTGGATTCAGCCCCTGGAAATGAAGAGAGAAAAGAAAAGGTTTTCTTGAGCTCCCTGCCAGCTTTTCCCACTTTTCTGCAGCCCCGCGTAACCACCGTCCTGATTTCTATAGACCAGTCTCAGTATGTACTCGTGTTTTGTCTAGCCTCTTACAGCAGTTTCTTTTCTTTTTTCAGGACTGGGAATCGAACCCAGGACCTTGCACTTGCAAGGCGGGCACAGTGCCACTGAGCTAAATCCCCAGCCCTAGTTTCTTTCCTCTTGCCACACTGGATATTGAATGCAGAGCCCCTGGCATGCTAGGCAAGTGCTCAACCGCTGAGCTACCCCACCCCCACCCCATCCCTGCATAATTATTTTGAGATTCGTCCTTGCTGTTGTGGATGCCAGCAGTTCATTTTATTTCATCCGTGAACACAAGTATTTTGTGATATGATTGCACCACTAGGGGCTGTTCACTCCTTTACTGGCTGGACATTTGAGTTGTTCCCAGGTTTGGTTTGGTTTGGTTTGATTTGGTTTTTTGAGACAGGGTCTCACCATGTGGTCCATGCTGGCCTTGAACTCACTACGTAGCTCAAGTTGGTTTCAAACTCGTGGAGATCCTCCTGCCTCAGCCTCCTGTGTGGTGGGTTACTGAGGTGTGCACAACCACACCCGGCCATTCCCAGGTTTTTAAACTGCTCCCTGGTGCTCTTGAGGTTCTCACCAGTGCCCTGGGCACAGGGAGAATCTCAGAAGGCTGAATTCTCCCAACACAACATACACAAACTCACACGGAGGCTGCCTTGCTGAGTTTAAGTTCGGGACTCCACCAGACTTGGCGTCACATTCTTCAGCTCGCACCTGGTACCTGCGATCCTGGAAGAGCTGATGTTTCTTTGGCGAAACTGTCTCCTCATCTGCAGCGTGGGGACCCTAACTGTCCCCACTCGTGAGACCTAACTAAACAAGGTCGCCTCGACAGCTCTCACACAGCCTTTTTGCCTGAACAGAAATCTCAGAATTGGGGCATCTGAGGTTTGAGAGTGCAGATCTGGGGATGAAGCAGCCAAACCGGAAGCTGGAGGGCGGTGCCTGGGGGAGGGAGGAAGCCAGCCCCACCCTCCCCGCCTGCTCCTTTAATTAGCTCGGTGGTTTAGAAAGCGCAGCCAGTGATTTACTGGGAGGGTCCCCGGAGGGAGCCACGTCCCAATTTCCACATCCTGAGGGACTGGGGCTACTGGTGCCAGATCTGCTTCCGGAGCGAGGGCAGCGCCCCCGCGCCCCGCTGTCCGGACCCCTGGAATCAAACCCAGAGCCTCTGGCAGGAGGACGCCTTTCCCCTCCGGGCGCCTGCGTCCCTCGTCCTTTTGGAGCCAGAGATCATCAGCTCTTTAGGGAGACCGCTGCGCCGAGGCAGGCTGTATCTCAGGAAGAACTAGGGCCCAGGCTGGGCCCTCAGTTACGACCGACCGGCGTGGCATAGGAACAACTCGGGTTGCAACTGGACTTTTACCTTTAACTTACAAACAAGTCTTGGGTTATGACATAAATGCTGGCCACTTGTGCTTCCAGATGGTCTCAGGTACAGAGCTCTGGAAGGAACATGACAGCGTCCTTTACTGGGTGGGGTTGAGAAATCCCAGGCCAGTGTCTCTCTGAGGACCCTGAGATCTGCCTGTGCACAGGAGAGACTTTGAAGGCTATGGAGAGGGGCCTGAGCCTTCCCTGACTAACTCGAGTTACAACCAGCCCTGGAGAAGGAATTGAGTTTGTAGGTCATGGGTCCACTGTACAGTGGCACCTAGGATCACAGACCGAATTCATCCTGCGATTCTGGAAAAGATGGCCACATTTGAGTCTGTGTGGGAAAAGATGGCTGAGGCCCCTTTGTCTCTTAATGCAGAGTTCACACAAAGAGCAAACTCTGCCAAGGGCTTCTCTTCTCAAAATAGAACGCTCTCAAAGCAGAAGTGTTCCTGCACCAAGGTGCCACTGTACTTGGGGAGGCTGAAGCAGAAGGATCCCAAGTTCGTGCCCAGCCCAGGCTCAGTGGTTAAGCAAGACCCTGACTGTATTTTAAAAGGCGGGGCCGGGGGGGGTGTATCCTGGTGGTGTAGCTCAGCACAAGGTCCAGGTTCCACTCCCAGTGCCATAAAAGCAAAACAAAAAGCCCCACAGGAGCCAGAGTGTGTTTATCGTCTGTGTGGGCTGGGTTACCTGTCCTGGATCTCAGTTTTCTCATCTGTAAATGGGAATAAAAATAGTACTTATTTTTGTGGGCATTTTTGGTACCAGGGACTGGGCCAGGTCTCATGTGTGCCAAGCATGTGCTCTCCCTGTGTCGCAGCAGCTGGGGAGACACCGAGCACTGAGCCCTGAGCCAGGCTGCTCCTAGGGCCTGGCCCGCTCTTTCCCCGGGGGGCCGGGCCGAGGCTGTGGTCTGCGTAGAAGCCACCCTGGCT